CCTGCTGGTGACCCACAGCCCCAGCTCCTTGTCCCCAGTAGCCCACCCCCGGGCACTCAGCCCTGCAACCCCCCCTCCCACCAAGCAGCTGAGCTTCCAGCCCCATGAGCTCCATTGGCTGCCGGGGGGGTGCTGGGGGGGCTGAAAAAGCAAAAGTAAAACCCTGGGAGGCCAGAAAGTGAGAGTAACGGAGCAGGCGGCTGGTGGGGGGGGGCAGCACACTTTCTCCCCTAATTTATTAGCAGCTCGCTCGCTCCAGCAAACAATTTAGAGAAGTGACGTCTTTGTTTAATAAAAAAAAAAGTAAAAGAAAAAAAATAAATCAGCAGTTCTTCTTCACCCACAAACACAGCTCTTCCCTGGCAAACCCGGGACATCAGCCTGGACATTCCCCATCCGGCTGCGAAGGAATAAAACAAGCCCCAACCGCCCCGACTCCTCTCGAGAGAGCTCCTACCTTGGCCAAAGTCCTTTCCAGGTCACCTTAACCCTGTCCCCCCCCCGCCCCCCCGCAGCCCGGAGGCTTTAATCAATCGCCAGGTGAAACCTAAACCTGGAGCCGAGGGGAAAGCGCTGAACCCAAGGGCTCGGGATGAAGGTCAGGGTGCTCCTGCTGGGGAGCGTCTGCCGGGGGGGACGGGACGTGGCGGGGGGACCCTGTGCCCAGGGGCTGCATCCCCCCCCCGGGGAGCACCTTCCGAGGGGGCTGCGGGGGACAGGGCTGGGGGGAGCACGGAGGAGACACCACCGACCCACCGGGGAGAATTTGGTGTGAATTTAGAGGATTTCAGCCTCTCTGGACACAGCTCCCGTCCCGCACGGGGCTTGTGTTCCCCGACGGGGGGGGGGGCAGGCTGGCTCCGGGGGGGGGTTTCACCAGCACCATTTCCCCCGTGCCCTGGTAAATAAAACTGTCTATTTATTGAGTGTGTTTCCCCAGACCGACCAAACACCGACCAAACTCCGCAGCGCTCACGGGGGCCGTGCTGCTGCCAGCAGCTCCCGCCGCCACCTTAAATAATTCACTCAGCAAAGCCTTGCACTTGTTTTCCTCTCGGGGAGCACAGGCCCCGGGCACCCCCGCGGGGTCGTTGGGGGGGACCCAGCGCCTGCAAAAGTGCAGAGAATGTGAGTTTACAGCTGGGACGGGGCAGCTCTGAGCCCCGGGCTGCTCGGGAAGGGGGTTCCCAGCAGCGTGCCTCAGTTTCCCCATCCATAGCGGGAGGTTGTGTGG